TGGTGTTTGAATCCTGCCTTTACTCCATGTGTGTGTGGCGGTTTGGGGTTTTCTCTGTGTCAGGCAGGTTTCCTTAAACTAACTGGCATTTCTAAATTACCTGTATGGTACTGTATGTATGCACCCTGTGATAGACAGACATCCCATCTGGGGTGTGCCCTGTGATATCTGACATAAGCTTTAGGTCCCGTCCCCCCCACCCCCCCCCACCCCAGTGACTCTAACTAGGTTGGATAATTGGATGAAGTTTGCAATGAGATACTGCTATGTTTTACCATTAAATTTCCCAGGAATTTCCCTTAGATCTCAATTATTAATCACAGCTCAAGTCATTTAAAATCAGCAGTGTGATGTCCATACTTGACAGAACCTCACATACAACTCATCGGCTCCTCCCTGCATCTTATAAAAGCATTCCTGACTCCTGATTTCCATTCCTGTTAATAGACAATGGAATACAGCAGATATGATTAAGGTTTAATGCAAATGGAACTGTACAGTCTTTGCACACACTGAAGCTAGATCAGTAATCATGTAATCATTTAATGTCCAAGACGGTATGGGGCTAGCTCTTGGCCGCCATGCTGCCATATTTCCTTTCATCTCACAACCAAATTTAAAGAATTATTTTAATTTTCATTTTTTCTCCACTTTCAGAGTCCACTTTCTCTGCACAGTCTATGAGTCATTGCACTCCCTCAAGCAATCTGTCGGAAAGAAAAATAGAAAGAAATTCCGTGGTTTCCGTAGTGCCTGTGCTCTTTATAAAGATGCGGAAACCACAGAGAGTGGCACTGCTGCTGGCCAGCAGACGTGAGCCTTAAATTAAAAGGCCTGAAAGTCACAACCTCCAGCCAGCCAATTTGTCTTTCATTATTTGTAGTTTGGTGGCTTCTGTGTTTTGCTTTTGTTTACTTCAGTTTATTTACAGTATTTAGGTTTTCATGTATCTCCCAAAGTCTTTCTGTTATAGTGTGTGACAAATCTGTGTATTTTGTACCGTAAGTCAGCTTCTGTTCTGAAAACTGGAAGGTAAGGCAGCTAATAAATAAATGAATTAACTGGCCCTAGTTTCGGCTGTTCTATTTTAACTGATTGACATGTTTGATGCATGATTTATAGTCTAATAATGATAATCCATCTATTGACCCATCTACTAATCACTTTGGCCAAGGGTGTGGGTGCTACTGCAAATGATAATGACAGAGCAGTATAACTGCAGTCATACTTACCTAGTTGATACCTTTGTCCAAGGTGATATATATTTCTGGGGGGGAGCAGGACCAGGCAGTCCCTGCAGTTGGGGCGGGGTGGTGGTGTTAAGGGCCTCATTTTGGGGGCCCATGGTCAGAACGATTTGCTGACCCTGAGATTTGAACCAGCTGCCTTTGATCAGCATCTGGATCCAGTAGCAACTAGACAAACTGCACCTGGAAACAACTCCAATTTCTATTTCAAATACACTACATAGGGTTTGATCTCTGCCGTAATAATCTGTGAACTATCTTGGCAAGCAATAGGTCAATTCACAGAGAATCAAGAGGGTGATATTTGATTTTCATAGCAGTAAAATGAAACATTTTCTACAGAAAGGAAATAATGAATTCAACAAGAGGGCATCTGAGGCAGACTGAAAATAGAAATGGGAAAATGGCAACACAGTCCCAAAGTTTTGGTTAGAGACTAAGCTTTGCCAGTAAATAAATGCTTTGAGAAGGAAATTAAAGTCTGCAGTATTTTCTAGTATGGGCTGCCTTCAGCTCCAGTGATGTAGACTTTACCAGTCACTGGAATAATGTTTTTTGACAGGAATAACTGTCAGGGACTGCACCCATCTGTTCAAGTCTTTCGTGTCTTCTCCCCATTTGGCCAGCAGGTGTCGCTGGCCATCCTGTCCTCCCCATTGTCAGTCTTTAGTGTTTCCCTTGCTCCCCCGATGGCCATATAGCTCAATAAACTGAGCATATGACTACCTGTAATCCCCTCCGTTGTGTGTTCAAGTCTTGCCTCCTCTGTTTTTGTAGATTTTGTTCCCCAGTGTTTCATTTGTATCAGTTTTCTAGTTCCTGTGTTTGGTGATTTGTATTCGGCTTCGGCTTTTGGCTTTGTGCCCATGGTGTCTTACCTGTCTGTTATTCCCCTAGTGTTAGATTCTGTTTCCTAGTTTGAGTTTCATGATTTTAGTATTATTAGTTTCACCTGTTGCCTGTTACCAGCCCTGTTCATTGTTTTTACCTGTTCTGCATTACTCTTGTTAGCTTTTTGTATTTAAGTTCCTGATCCTGTTCTGTTCCTTGTGGAGTCATTGCTGTTGCCAGCCAGCCAGCCAGCCATCTTTGTTTTTCCTATTTTTCTTTTTGACTGCTTGTAGTCTGTTTGTTTTGTTCCCAGTGTTTTCAGTTCTGTTAATAAACCCCTGTTGTATTCCTGTGAAATGTAATGGAAAATAGGAACAGAAATCTGTCGCAGGACTAATATTGCAGCATCTGTTGAACTGCAGGTGCTGATTCGTATGCGGTAGGAAACAGGAACTGAATTCTTGAATAAAGCTCAAAGTCTACATTCACAGCTTCACATATGGTCATGAGCTGAAATTATGATTTTCCTGAGGGCTACTGTGTTCTCTCCCATGTTGAGAAGTTTCAAAGGTTACTGATGCCCCAGAGGCTGTATTTATCATTTGTTGACCTGAGCTAGAATCCACCTTTATACCTGGACTGTTTTCTTTCATGAAGACAAAGTGCCAATACATTAAAAATAATTAAACATCAATGCTATGAGCATCTTCAGGTCCCTGCTATCATAATCCTACAAGAAAACTGGGTTAAACGTCTTGAAGACAATGTTTCTGGCATCTCCTTTGTAATACACCCTATTCTCATCCTGCAACATGTTTTGGCCAGACTGTCTGTAAAACACTGTATTTGTGGACTGCAATTGGCATTTTTTTCTAAACCAGAGAGATGGTCCAGTTGATCCCTTGTCTGTCTTTAAAAGTGATGATGTCCAGAGAGACAAATTTCAAACAATAAAAACACAACGTTACCATTATTCATTGCAATCTATTTTATTTCCCCTTTAAACCTGAAATCGCATTCAGGAAGAAGTCCTGAATTAAAAATAAAACTTTTGTTGAGTTTAGGGATCAGTCGTAAGCTCTTGTTATATACTCAGAAGCACCCTAGTAACAGGGTTTAGGAACCATAGTACACATGTGGTAGTAGTTAGGATGAAGAAGAAAATGTGACCCTTTTAATAATGGGGGTTTGTTTGTTTCAGAAAATTAGGAATAAAATATTCCACAGACAAATGTAAAAAAACAATGAAAACTGTGATAGTGGAAGAACAGCAGAGGTTCTTAAGTGCTGAGACGTGGCACATCTGTTAAATTCACACTTATGAAAAAAATATATTTCCTTAAAATTTTCTGGAAAGTCTATACACTTCAGTAACCAGTTATGAAATTGTTATGCCAATACTCTGAAGCCAAGTCTTGCACAGGATGTGAGGTAGGCTGTAATTAAGCTACATTTGAACCTGCAACTCTATAGCAAGTACAATGTGTGTAGCATGTGTGCCATCCAAACACTGTGTATTTCTAAGTAAAATCATGATTCAAATAAAAATACTTATTTACACTCTCTGTAGACTCTCTGGTGGAAGACAATTGAGTTGTTACACAGAGTTCCTGAAATGAACGACATTCTCTAAAAACAGTTTGATCGAGGGCTTCCCAAACTTTTTGAATTACAAGAAAATAAAGAAAAATGTTATTATGCTCAGTGAAATCATACTGTATGTAACCGTAATGCTGTCATCCCTTTGGAACTATTATGCACATCACTATTTTTGTATGTTTTTGCAACTATAAATGAAAATGTACTTATTTTCTTCAACAGGTCATTCACTACCTGTAATTCACCGGGTTGATGATCATAATCATGACGTTATAAACAGATAATTTTAATTTCAATAATCCAAGTATGTTATGTGTTTAACTAGGAACTTTCTAATAGAATTCTTCATTAAAACAAGATGCATTGGGTAGGACACAAAACTGTCACAAGGCATGTTGCTAATGTGATATTTCGGAGGGGTCATCAGCATGCTAGAAACAGGCTTATGGAATTACAAAAAGCAGACTCTGAGATTCCCTGGTTCGGATGCTCCCCCAAGAGGCAACATGAAGAAATGCAGCTTGGTTAGTTACCAAGCTACTTTACACAGATGGCATTTGGCGGTATGCACTTTAATGAAATAATATTTTATTATAAAACAATATTTTTGAACATTAATTGGTTAAAAGGATGTTCAAGTAATGTTATCGTGCTGACACTAACAATCTTTGCTAAAATGTACAACGTGGAAATGCCGTTCTTTTAACGTTACAGTTAAAAAAGTTTTCTGCCAACTTTGAGACCTTCACTCAACATTGGCTTAAGTTACTTAATTGTAAACGGGGTATATCGTCCTCACTGTACAATTCTTCTAATGTTTTCTTGATATATAAATGAACGCCTTCTGCATACCAACGTCAATGAAACTAAATTCATTTTATTGGCGACCAAAAGAAGCTTTACATGATCACTCTGTAATGGTCATTATATTTACAGTATAAAAACCTAAAAAGCAAGACAGCTCACTACTATAACTTTAATGCTGCTTGCAACCTTGAGCAAGGTTTACAATGACGCCAAGCGGTTATTAGACGATGAGTAACCATACAGCGACCCGGTTTTTAATTATTGAAGAATGTGACTTAATTACGGTAATAGCAATAATATAACAATAATCGTCAGTAAAAAAAATATAGGGATCCGCTACAATGACAACAGGATAATAGTGGGTATGATTAAAACAATGACGATAGTTTCTATGTACATATCATAAGCAGTTAGATCAGTTCATGAAGAAGCGTCTTTCCTTTACGTTTCATAGGTCTTGTTATTTGAGTTAGTCTTTATTTTGACCAAGCACTGATCACGCATTCACTACAAGACCCTCCCGGACGGTTTATCGTACACGCTCTTTGACCCGGAAGTAGTTCTGGCGTCTTGTTGACATCACCCGCCCCATGAAAAATGGCAGAGTCGGAGGAAGAGGTGGATGTCTTGGTCCAGAGAGTTGTGAAAGATATCAACAACGCCTTTAAGAAGAACCCCAATATGTAAGTGTGTTTCTGAACAGGAGAAGTCGAGTCAGCGTGAGACGTGTCATTGCCACTATGGTGCGCGGGGGCTTTATCGCTGCCTAGCATTTGTTAGTTATACCAGTGTCGGTCGTTTAGCTAACCGGCTAGCTGAAAAGCCAAATGTTAATGATGTGCTGATAGATTCACATGTCACGGATGTGCCAATGGTAATTTTTTTTTTAAAGGATTCGGTAGAAAAGTACTAAGGGGCTTCCTTGCAAGTTACTTATAGGAGTGCTAAGTGGTAACTGTATCTAGCTAGGAAGCTAACTGGCTAGTTGGTGACACTGGGTGCATCTGTATAATCATACAAGTTCCAGTATGGAAACCGGGCGGGATCTCACTTTGTTACTTGTGTATACAGTTGAAGTGTAGCTTGCGGTTATCCATTTTATTTATTTATTACATTACTGTTTTGGCCGAGAAGAGTTTTAACTTTGTCTTTCTAAATTTTGAGGACGACGTTTGTTAGCCGAATACTTTGCTCAATGAACAGCAAATTAGCTACACATTTATTTTAGGCTTTTATCAGATTTTAAAAAGACATTTCAGTTGTGTAGTCGATGTGGGCCAGCGCGTATTGACGTACCGCATGTAATCTGAAACTATGTATTTAGCATTAGTCGATACAGTTTGTAGTTTACTGTGAAGACTGTGAAGAATTAAAATAAAAAATGCTGTTTTGTCATCTTTAAGTTAGGTGTGGATGCATCTCTTAGGTATAGGTGAACAGATGTACAGAATTAATTATCTTTCTGTTTAATGACCTGCTTCGAATCATTGTAAGCTTAGTTGAAAAACATCATGTTGTTACTATGTTTACAAATTATTTAAAACTTTTATCTTGTTTTTAGTTCTGCCATTTCCCTTTGCTATGGACTAAAAAATAGAATTGTTTTTTCTTTTTAGTAAAGGCAGTATATGTTGCCTTTCCATATCATTGCCGTTATATAGTTACGTGTAACACTGCTGTGACTTTTTGTAATTTGCGTGTTTCTCCTTAGAAAAAAAACGTTTTGGTTTCCATATTTTGTGAGGACAGTGGTTTTTAGCTACCTGTAATCTGTTGTCTTGCTGTTGTAGATGTTTTTTTTTGTTATATTACAATCGCTTTTGTTGTTCACTCGGGTTGTCCTTGCAGTGATGAAATAGGTCTGATACCATGTCCGGAAGCCAGATATAACCGAAGCCCCATCGTCCTGGTGGAGAACAAGCTGGGCATGGAGAGTTGGTGTGTCAAGTTCCTTCTACCTTTTGTGCACAACAAACTTTTGTTGTACCGGCAGCGTAAACAATGGCTGGACAGGGAGGGTAAGAGTCTGCACCTCTCAGCTATTTATTATTTTATATATATATATATATTTCTTGTCCTCTGTGTTTCTGTTGGAAATGGCAGTAGGTCAAGGAAGATAAGATAGTGAATTACTGATCTGAATATGACGAATTTCACTCTGCCTGGGGTTTCACGTTAAAGCTATTAGCCTTTAGTCGGCATATTTTTTTTCCTCAACACTATAATAAAAATTAATTCTGGCTGTTCTATCTACCTCTAAAGAAAAATGAAATGACTTTTTGAACCAACGTCATTGTTCATATACATTTATGTAACAAAAAACAAATGGATTTCATCTGCAAGGAGATTTTGAATTTTCTAAGAATTATTTATACTGTAAATGAAGGTAGGTATATTGCATATTTGACCCTATTTGCATGTAAATACGCTGGTAGTTTTTTCTTTTTTGTCTTCCTTTTCAGTGCAGAGTAATATTTATTGATTCTAGCGGTTGGGAGAAGCATGGGGTACCTTTCTCTCTCTTGTGTACAAGCACCAGGGACAGAGTACCAGAATACAGAAGTCCATCAACAAACAAAGAAATAAATAACACGTGCTGTATTTGGCTGGCAGAACTGAGGAACTGGTGGTCCTATTTTCATGATGGAATATAGTTCCACCTTTTCAGTCTCTGCTTTTCTTTTTAGTTGTTCCTGAGGCTTATATCTTCATTCCTTTATGCTGACCTTAAAGGTAGCAGGTAATTTTATACCTTAGACTCTCCCTGTGAAATCAGCTGAACATTTTTTTTCAGTATCATAGTGGCTTTTCAGTTGACTAAGTAACCCAACTTTTTTTTCTTTCTTTTTTTACTTTTACATTATTACTGCAGGCAGGCAGTATATTCATATCTATGATGGGCAGTGGTGGCTTGATGGTTAGGGAAGCGCACTTGTAATTGAAAGATTGCAGGTTCGAATCCCCGACCAGCAAGGCACCACTGAGGTACCATGAGCAAGGTACCGCCCCCAAGCACTGCTCCCTGGGTGCTGAATTAGCTGCCCCCTGCTATGTCACGAAAGTCACATATGGGTCAAATGCAGAGGACACATTTCATTGTTGCGCACTGTGTGCTGTGGTTTGTTGACAATGACCACTGATCACTAAATTCTAATGATATACGTGAATGTTTTTAATAACAAATGTAATTTTCACATAGTTACTTTTCCCAATACCAATAAACTGTGTAATTACAGAATTGAAAGCAAGGCCATGTTTATGTGCAGTAATGGTCACATCACAAAGGTTTTTGTTTGCCAAAGAGCTTTGGGAATATTAGGCAGATTGTTTTATTTTGGTCAAAAGGGACATTGAGACTGGAATTACAAGGTGGATTGTCAATGTGTGTAGCGCCATTTTAAAAGTGATAAAACACCCTCTTTTAATCTGATAATTAATTGTGGCTTATGACCTACTTTTGCATGTTCGCAAACCCATCTAAGCTGAGTTTTTACAGAAATGTACATGCAGAACTCTCTGTACTTTTTGTTCCATTTAACAAGATCATGTCCTTCCCAAATGAATCATTACACAAGTGTTTCTTTTTGTGTCAAAAAGTCTTGCATGCAAAATAAAAAATAAATAAATATATTGTCAGCTCATTTTCACCTGGAACACATTCACTGTTGTGGTCTCATGTGCCTTTGAATTAAATGTCTTCCAGCACTGATAGACATCACCTGCACGCTGCTGCTGTTGAATCCAGATTTCACTACTGCGTGGAATGTCAGGTATGAGTTTTTACTGTCTCTGCTGTGCACTGGTCGGTTATTATAGCTGAGAACAAGGAAATTATCTTGCATTTAAAAACCTCATTTTGTTTTATGTAGTATTTTAGAAGATAACTGTAATATTAAAGCCAACTAATATATCTCGGTAATTGCACCAGGCCGCTACTCAGAAAATGTCTGTGAGGAATACATAAGAGGTTTAGTAGTCAGATTGAACTCTCCCTTTCTTCATTTAATTTCAGGGTTTCTCCATTTTTATTTTTAGCCAAATGAGCTATCTTATTGTTCCTGTAGAGTGACAGCCAATGCAAGACGGCTCAGTTTAATGAAAAAATATCCTTTATACAATTTTTAGTACTCCCACCCTTGGCTGTTCAGGACTGTCAGTAGAATGTAAGAGCACGTTTTAGTTTAGCTGCACATTAAGGCTAGGCTGGTGTTTAGAAAATGTTTCGTTTTTATTTTCTGATGTGAAATTATGCTCATTGCATTGGGAAAAGTGTGCAAATAAAATAGGCTTGCCAAACCAAGAAGGAGGCAATTATAATAAATATGTATATGATGATACTTCTGCGGTACAGTTTATCATGTTGTGGACACAGTTTATATTAATTGATAACCTGTGACTGTTTGTTATGCTCTTAAGCAGAACATGCTGAACATCAGAGTGTGGAAGTAATTTAAGTCGAGTAAGAGCCCTGTTGAATTTGGCGATGGAAAAAGAAACCGCTGTGTTCGGCTCATCAAAGAGGCCTTTGTGGCCCCGGGGTGTCTGGAACTGCCCTCAGTCAAGACACTGTGTCCTGCTTTCTTGGGTCATCGCCTGGTAAGGGGTTATATCCAAAGGAAGCCCCTGCAATGAGACTGCAAGTCAGTCCTCAGTCACTGTTACTGAAGCTTGCACACATCATGGCCACTTGACAGAGTAAAGAGATATTACTCGCTTGCTTAAGGCAGTCCAGTAGGGTTTGATTACAGTGTTATGTTTTCAACGTTATGGTTATATAAATGTTATTGTTTTGACAGTGACAGCTCTGCGGGCGCAACAATATTTTTCCGTTTTATTTAATTTTCTTCATTTTTTTGTGCCTTCAAAGTGCCAGATGAATTGAGATTTTGATGTGGCACCCTCTGTTCACTTCAACCTAGAACTCCGCGTCTTTTTTTTGAATTTCATGAACATTTTTGTAAACTGGATTACGTAAGCATCTTAAAAAAAAAAAAAAGAAAAGAAAAAAAGAACCAAGCCTCTAAAAACAAAAGCGATTTGTCCTTTTGTCAAAGTAGTGTTTGTCAAAAGATCAGCTTCTAGGAGGTGCTGATTTCAGTTGGCAGAATCAAATTTAAAAAATTTAAGTGTGGCTTCCAATAAACCCTGAAGTGTTCCTACAAATAGAATGGAGACAAAGTAGAAGAAATTAACTATCTACGTACATGTATGTGAAAAATGACGAATCTATATTTACTTGACCATGGTGTTGGCTGTTTCATAGTCGTTTGGCAGCTGTGGAAGATAAGCACTGGCTTTGTCACCCTTTTCATTCCTGTGATAACAGCATTTTGTTGGCTGCAGTTTGGAATCTGTCTGGTGACTGTTGATGGCTTCCTCTCTTCTGAGCACAGCTGGATAGGCATGAAGGCTTAAAGAGGATTAGGATTCTGCATGCTAGTTGTAGTTGAGGTGAAGGTTTTTTTTTTTTCCCCATAAACCGCAGCGTTGATTTCTATTGAACTTACCATGATTGTTTTATGCTAAATGAATACAGTTTGTAACGGATTTAATTGGGACTAATGAGTTCAGTTAATTATTTTCCCTACCCTTTTTTGTTTGTTTTCACAAATGATTAAAACCGTAATAGCAATGTGTTATGGTAAAATCACTCATTTTTCTTTCATAGACAATAAAAATGCTCTTCAAAGACTACAATAGTGTTTTATAACTAAATGACCTGATTCTAGGCACACTTATGACTTATTGACTTATTCCTAATTTATTTGAAGTCATCTTCTTTATGACAGACATGCCACGTTGACCAAACAGAAGCAGCAGTGATAGCTATTGTCCCTTTCTAATGGGGACTCTTTCTTTGTGCCTTTCAGAAAAGGTGGGAACTATGAACTGATAAAACCCACAATGAGAGAGATTAAGCATCTTCTTGCTAGAACTTTGAAGTAGTTTCAGTTACACGTTATAGTAAGTCTCCTTTGGAAGTCGCTAACTGCACAGCTCGGCGCCCAGTAGCTACTCATTAGGACCTATTCATAGACTGTACATTTGCTGCCGTAATGTCCTGTCTGATACGCTAATGGGTTGTAATTCTCCTTTATAGTCGTCATTTCTAATTCTCTGGGTTAGTTATAGGACAGCCTTATCTGCCAACATGCTGATTTAAATAAGAGTCATTACCATGCCCTGGATCATTTATTAGGGAAGTACTTTTTTTTTTCCCTTCTTCTTTTCCCAAAAGAGGCATAAAATACGTCATCATGAATATCACCATTACTTGCAGTTGTTTTTGAGTTTTCTGCGTGCTGCTGCCTCAGTATTGCACAAGTCCACAAGTCACTGCGATACCAGACTGAAATGTCTACTGTGCTAATCCAAGCAGTCACCGTATTTTTACCTCCTTGCTCAGCATTAGTAGCGGATTTCAGATTTTATCCATATTGATTCCTAATTAGATCATTGATGGGTATAAGGAATAAAAGAATAGTCTGAGGTTCATGATTAGCATAATGAGCACAATTACGAATTGCATTAAAGGGGATTTTACATTTATTTGAGTGTGTGTGTATATGTGTGTGTGTGTGTGTGTGTGTGTGTGTGTGTGTGTGTGTGTGTATGTATGTATGTATGTATATATAGATAGAGAGATAAATAGATTTAGATATTTATAGATAGATATAGATATTTATAGATATAGATATATATAGATATATAGAGATATAGATAAATATAATATTTTTTATATATATATGTATGTTTTTACAGATGGTCATTTTATAAATGGTGTGCCGGACCATGTGGTATCCAAGATTATTGTTGCTGAAGTTCCACAGCTTTCTCTACCTGGTCCGAAGTACATTTGCTGATATTCATTCACTCTTTTAGCTTGGAACGTTTCTCAGTTTTGAGTTGTCGCTCACCCTCAGATATAGTGGCTGCTGCATGATGTCTGTTTGTCCCTAAGTGTGATGATCCTTTACAAAAGGGGGCTCTCTCTGTCTAGGAAGGAACTGGCACAGTGTGGGGTGCTGAATCCTGAGAGAGATCTGTACCTGGGCAAGCTGGTCCTCACCAAGTTCCCCAAGAGCCCAGAAACCTGGATCCACAGGTGCTCCACCGCAAGCTGACTATGGTGTTACTGAATTTTCACCAGAATAGTCTGGTGTCCCTTATCTGATTGTACCACTTCTTTTTGGCTGGGACATGGTTTTTAATAGGGGACCGATACCCCAATTGGATTCAAGTTAACGAGTAGATTCAACCCGATTCGGTTCCGATTCACAAATGCCTGATTGGATTCCATTTGGGCTCTTCAGTCTAAGCATTCACTGAAGTGTGATCGAACCAGATTTGTTATACAAACGTCAACCAACACAGCACAATAGTGTTAACATTGCAAAACAACATAATTATTTGTTACTGCTACATGATGAAAATAAGATGACAAAAAACAATATATAATAAGCATGAAATCTATTCTTGTACTTATTCATGAATACACCAAAAAATTTCGTCCACTTTTCCATCTGCAGTTCTTTTGTCCAGCCAGAAATAAATAAATTATACCTACATACTTTTAGTAGCTTTCTTTTGCTTCAGTGTTGCCTACAACTTTTGGGGAAAAAAACCAGATAATTAACAATATTCTCAAATGACAGCAAATCGTTTGCTTATTTATTTTTATTTATTTTGCTGTTATATAAGGTCATTTCATGTCACCATAAGCAGTGTACTGAATATGACTGGTATGAGAATAATGCCATACTTAACTTGCTTGCATTCACGTGCTCGGAGTACTCAATTATCATGACTGAGAATGCACCAAGATGGCTACACAAGGTGATTGAGAAATACTGCTGCAACCCTCCTATAGGTGAGAGAGAACATAGCCACACATATATAATATACAAGTAAAATTCAGTGTTTTTTGTTTTTTTTCCCCCCCAAGTCACAGGGAAAACGCATAAATTGACTAGATTGATCTTGGGATTTTGCAAATTGACATCAGTTCGTTAAAACCAGGAACGCGAATAATCATGAAATTGATATTTTTTCCCCACCCCGAGTTTTTGGATTTCAACAGGTTAGCACCCTAAGAGAAGTGCTTGCAGAAACTCTGCTGCAGATATTGTGGCTAACATTAACTACTCTGCATTTACTCTGATTTATTGCCTTTCAGAAATGTTTTTTTATGCTTTTTTTTCCCCCTCCTTAAAACATTACCACCAGGTGTCATTACAACTGTTAAATGCAGTGTGTCAGCTGTACAATGTAATCTGTTAATGTACCCACTCAAAACCTGCCTGTGTACATGAAAATCACACCTACAGACCTGGGCATAAAGTTTCCTTGGCATTTCAATTGTAGTAATAACATTATACACCCTCTGACAATAACAGGATTTGTTTTAATCAGACAGGCGTTATAATTTCTATTAGCTATATTTGCTGTGAACTTGTGATGCCATTTTAAATCCTTCCAGTATTGAAATGCTTCTTGGAAAAAGCCTCAGTGAAGTGTCTTTACGTTGTCATTTAACCTTAGACCCTAGTTGTGACCTTTACGTCATGTGTGATTTGTTCTGCTGTCAGGTTGCTTGTGACAACTTCTAACTTCATTTGACAGTATTAGTGTTATCCAGTTGTCCCTGTCGGTTTTAGTGACGCTGCTCTGGGCATTTCTTCTGTGACTCCACCACAAACATATCTAATTTCCCTAGTTAACACTTCACTGGCATTTGGTTAATTCAGATGAACCGGCAGTGGGATACAGTAATGATGTTCACTGGCATTGCTCCACTGAAGATTGTTGAGGACCACTGTGTTCCCTTTTACAGCTTGAGGGTTTTATTATCTCCGTTTTTCATTATTGCTTGTGTGATTTGGTTTTTTTTTTATGGTCTCGTTAAAAAGCTAGTTGACCCTTTATCTTGACCGTTACTGTCCTTCCATGTGAAAGTTAGTGATGTGGGTCGATTTTCAAAGCAGAATTCCTCGCACAATTAAGTGACTATGGACCGCTTATCCAGTAGGATTTCTGCCCGTGTGGAAGGCTGTGGCTTCTGGCCCAGTGGCCAGCAGAGTGATGGTGTCACCGCTGAGCCCTTGAGTAAAGCCCTTAACCCCGGTTAGCTCCAGAGATGCTGGCTGCCCCTCATTGGAATATCGCCGTTAAGTGAATGTAAATGTGTTGTACTGAGCTCCCCCTTTCGCCCCCCCCCCCCCCCCAGGCGCTGGGTGCTGCAGCAGGTCTTGCGGCAGTGCCGCCCGCGCGCCGCGGAGCAGAAGGAGCCCGGCGAGGTGGAGCTTGGGGGGGCACAGGGCTCGCCCCCCAACGAGCGCCTCCGGCGGGTGCTGCGGGACGAGATGAAGGTGTGCGCTGAGGCTGCCGGCCGATACCCAAGCAACTACAATGCCTGGTCCCACCGCATCTGGGTGCTGCAGAACCTGGCCAAGGGCAACCTGAAGGTGACTCCTGCACCTCGCCGGCCCACGTGTTAATCCCATTAATCCCAGCTATTTAATCCTATTAATCCCAATGGGAGATGCACTTAAATGTGTTATCGAAGTTTTATGAGGTTTTATGGGACCCCATTGGTGCATACTTGCCCAGTCGTTGAGTATGTGAGTCTATTCTTATTTTTACTACTCACTTATGTAAACAAAGCTATGCCTTTTCACGTTCATACACCTGAGTATCCAGCTAGCAAAGTTAAAATGTTTAAAGGTACAACAGCAGTTTTATTTGTGGTAATCCTGCTGGTAAATTCAGTCACACGTCTGTGCTTCAGTTACCGTGTTCGTGCCTTCTACTGCCCTGTTGGGCAAGTGATCGCGCCCCCCCCCCCCCCCCCCCCCCCCCAACCTTCATCGAAGAACGGGGCTGTTCGTTACTTTCTACTTAGAGGGATATGTAAATCTGTGGAGCTTTATGCAAATTTTTACCCTTTTCAAAACATTGGTCAGCATTTTCAAGCATAGCAATTTTCCTTTTCATTCGACTCATCAAATTTTGTTTTAAGTTTTATTGTAGGAAAGAATTGCTTTCACATATTATTCCAGGTGTCTGAATAGCTTTAGCATATTCTGTTTAAGTGCAAAGGCATGCTTAGCGTATTGAGTGATGAAAATGGGCCACACACATTAAATCAGAAAATACACATAGAGCTATAAGCGATTGTACCATCTCTAGTGAATCATTTCGCGTTAACTTGTGTTTGAGAAAGCAGTGGCTTAATGGCTGGTCTTGTTACCTCCAAGGTTAAGTGTTGGAATCCTGCCCTAATTTTGTGTGTATAAGGTTTACGTTTTCTTCCTGTGATGGACTAGAATGTACTGGATAAATAGTTTGAAGTTAATGGAGCATTTTGTGACAGTGAATCTTAACACCTGGAGAATGAGTGATATTTTAGTGGCTGATCCTGTATCCATTTTGCTTTCTTTTTCTGTACAGATTCTTTATGATGAACTGTCTTCAATGAAGCTCTGGGTTTCCACGCATGTATCGGACCACAGTGGCTTCCACTACCGTCAGTTCCTGATGAAGGCGCTAGTGGCGGAACTGAGCCGAGCCACGGACGCCTCCTGTGGGCCATCGCAGGACCTGCACCGCAGCCACTGGCCCAATGGCGACGGGGTGGGCCCCGCGGCCGCCGAGGAATCCCGGACAGCCAGCGTCCCCGAGCTCTTTGGCAAGGAGCTGGAGCTGTGCACTGACCTGATTGAGACCTACCCGGGTCACGAAACGCTTTGGTGTCACAGGCGAGTCCCAGTTTGATCAATGTCAAATGTGTCTCACCTAACATGGAAAAAGGCTTGTGTTATCACATCGGATTTCTTCACAGGTCTCTGTCGGTCCTCCCATTTTAAACCTTGCCCCCCCTCTAGGTTATCTGTTAGGGTCAAGGCTGGCTCTGTTTGGAGTAGGAACTGCAGCTGTTTGTTTTCCCTTGACTACTACCTGTACTGCAAACTGTACTCCGGCTACAGATGAGCGTGTGTGTAACTATAACACTTATCTCTGTCAGGCGACACGTCTTCTTCCTCTGGTATCACTGGAGGAAAGAGCAGTCCCAGGATGTCGGACGGCAGCCATCTCTCCTCAACCACACTGACGAAACGCTAAGCGGTTCCCTGGGAGCCAGTGCAGGTAGGAACGTCCAGGCCATGGATGTAGACTTGGCACTGGAAGAAAGCAAGCAGACCAGCTACACCCAAGACAGCAAGCGTCTGAAACGGGGACCCCTGCAGCTCCGTCCTGGGCTGCCTTCTGAACACAGCTTTGTCACCAAAATCCTCAGCGGTTGCCGGAGCCCTGAGCAGGGCCGCTTTGCCGCCGCCTACAGGAAGTGGCTGGACTCTGTGATAGGTCAGTGACTTGTGACATCTCAATTCTGAAACCCGATAGGTCATGTCAGTATCACCCACACTGCCGCCATGAGGCTGGCCATTCAGGCCTCGTTTCCCCTTCATAATGAAAATTGGATTTTCAGTTAAAGGTTCGTCTGATGCTACTTGTCACTCAGATCAGGTACTTCAGTAACTCAGGTCTCTCTCTGTCCCTGAACAAGGTTTCGCCTCATCAGCTGAGTCGGTCGTACATCATTCTCTCTCAAGTAACATATCATGTGAACCTTTGCCTTTTAAGTGACTCGGTCTTCCAGACTTTATCCGCTTTCTTATCTCCTGATTAGACAGTACATCTCATCAACATTTCAGTAGACATCTGAATACCTGATGAAACAAATGTCTTAATATAAATTAATGCTATTGACAGTGCTGAACAATTTATTTATGATGCAGCTGTCATGTTTTGTTACAACATATATCTAATGAATGGTCAGTCCAGTAACTACTGGGGCCTGTGGAAATGGGACAAGCCTTTTTTAATGGATGTACTGTTAAAACTACAGTGACAGTCTTCCAGTAGATGGAACAGAAAGAAAGGCGACAGCTTCAGCATTCAGCTTGAATGTGTTGCACTTGTCTGGTTTGCGTTTTGAATGTGGTCAGATGTTCAGCTGCAGATGACCAAACATAAGCACACTCCTCCAGAGCCAATATTATGCTTATGGTCAGTGTATTGCTGTCAGTAACGAAACTATATGATATGACAGAGTCTGGTCTTTAAGCACAACTATTACTGCTCACCTGCTCATTTCAAAACCCCCTCCCACAGTTTGTTCACCAGTTCTCATTCTGAAGGGGAATTTTAAGTCTTAAGCATCTGATCAAGCAGCATGCCGCCACGCTAACATTGTTCTTACGACTGCTGTTCTGTTGTTTTGTTTTCTTATAACCAGTGTATTTATTTGTGTTTATGCTAACAGAGTTTAATTTTGGTCGTGTGTTACTTTACCTGCCTTGTATTCATTTGATTGCTGAATTTGTGCTTCCATGTGGCACTTTTCATTAGTGGCTGCTGACACAAGGAGCGGTTCTGTGAAAATAAAAGCAAACGTGAATAAACGGATTTCAAAGAGAAAAACGAAAGTGGAAACGCTCCTTCCATAGCACTTCGGCTCTGCTGATGCAGTATCGTTTTTACATTGACTGTATGGCAAATGGGAAAGGACACACTAATTTGTTCATTGGTCATCTGTTTTGTTCTTGTCATAAGATTATGTTTTCAAATATGGATGTAATGTTATTAGTGATACTAATTATACAGTTTTGCAAAAACTAACTTTTTTTTTTTCCTTTTGCTGAAATGTATTGGCAATACCTCAGGTCTGTGTGTGTGGAGTGAGTGGTGTGTCGACTAGGTGAACTTTAAGTGGTGAGTCCCTCTCACTCATTTCATCTTGGATTTTCTTCCAGTTACTTTGTGTACGAATTTAAACTCACCGGTTGCACAGATAAGAAGTGTTTGTCTCACAACTAGCCATACAGAGTCCTGAATCTTAAACAATAAAATGCACCACATCGTGAATCACTGCTAAATCATAGTGAAGTGACCCCTTAAAACAGTCACAAAGTCACTTACTCTCCCCTCCATTTCTATAGTATTGTGATCTCTGGGAGATTGCACAGATGTGTGGGGGCAGGTCATGTGGGCTTAGGATTGTGATTTCTCTGGAAATTGCCACCCCAGCTGTAATGAAATACCAAAATGAGAGGAAGAGCGGTTTTTGTTTGCCGGCCCTGGGGATCGAACCCACAATCTTGTATTTGTCTGCTAATGACCAGACACAAAATAATGGAATATTATTTAAATGTGGATTATAAAAAAAAAAAAAAAATCACTTGGTTCCAAAAAACTGCAACACAAATGGAAAAACAAGTAGAGGAGTGATGTAGCTGGCGGGGTAATATTTTTATTTATATTTCTGGGTTTCACCTGTTACCATAATGAGTACATTTGAGTGATTCTGTCAACGTTTTCTATTCTGTTACAAATGACCATGATGTGTAGAGAAGGTGAACATTACAAACAGGAGCCCTGGTTGACAATTCTGTTAGTAGTAGTTTGTGTGGTAGTTGCTTCAATGCTTTTTAATTCAATGCCTATGAAATATGTATCTATTTTGAGTACATGTGCACTTTGTATACAAATGAACCCAGGTACAATTATATTTGGTTGAATTTAGACACTGTGGGTCAGTACAAAGACTGTACCAGTAATGTTGGTGAGCTGCAGTTCAGTTTGATGTAGGTTAGGTTTAGGTAGTTCTTTCTTCTAAAACACACATACCTGTCATAATTTGATGCTGAATGGTATGGACTTGTGAAAACCGTGCTGTATTAACGAACACCTACAAAAAGAAACAAACATTTCAGTGTTGGCGAAACGGCAGTCTGGGAACAATTCTCATATGGTTGAAGATTGGCCTTAACACAAAACCGACATGAAGGAGTTGAAAGAGTACCATGGTATATATGTTCTCCTCAGTAACTGACACACACTGTACATTATGACATTTGTACCTTGTATACACTATGTGCTTATAACTTGAACCATCATACAATAAAATGTCTGTATCCTTCTATTATAAAACGTACTGTGCATTGAACCTCCTTGTACGTTCTGTATGTTACATTTTGCTAATGTTCCAAAAGGGAAGGATTACATTTTTTCTCCTGTTTTGTGTAACGATTTTTAAAAATAAGATCATCTCTTGTTTCTCCTGTTGAACGTTGTCTTACGAACTGTGACTTAACTTAGGGACCCAGAGAATCACTAGTACTGGAAATTTTCAAGACCCCTCATCTGATTAATTTTCTGTCTTTCAGTCGTATACCTCACTCCACTCAATTATTCCTTTTTTATGTAATTAGCCTATTTCTAACTGGTGAAGAAGGGCATTGATGGGGGGGGGGGAGGAGTAAGTGAATAGGGTGTAAACAGGGTTAGCTGAGTGGATGATAGAATGGGCATCTCCCGTGCTTTCTGGGAGTGACAGAAAGATGACTGGTGAAAGCGTGTGGCTGCTTTGGATAAAGGTTATTATACAGAACTGAATAGTCTTGAATATATTTAGTAAATGAGCAGCCATGCTCTGTGTAAGCGCTTAAATATTTCTTGGGTTAAGTGACAGCAGGTGTTGCATCCATGTTGTCAGGAGCTGTTACAAACAAACAGGAGCGCTTATGTGGAACATTACATCATGGCAATATGTAGCTATTAATTGGCCTTTTGTATTTTTATTTATATTTTTTAAAGATGTCTTTAAACATTGGCTTAGTTTAGAAATACACTTGATTGAAATGCAGCCTTAGTTTAAATGTTGTGCACTGTGCTGTGAGTGGTTACCCAGATGCTAGTGATCTTTTGAGGGCTTCCACCTAAACACTAAGCTGTTATATGCTTTGTTTAGAGAAATATATATATATATATCTATATAATTAAAGTATATTTAAAAAGGCAATCATTGGATTTGCCTTACTGTGTTTTTGGGAGAATTCTTGTTTTAACTATTAAACCAAGCAAAATATTGTAGTACCAAATTCTTTCTGCAATTCACTTTTATTAATCAAAAATGCTTTCTTGTATCTCATTTGTGAAACTAACACAAGCATATCCATTTTACTACTTTAAGGGTGTGATAACGCATACCTTAGTAATATAAATTGTAAATCTATGCAGAAATGTTCCTTTAATGAAGGTTTGGTGATCTTAAAAGCAAATGTAGCTTTGGTAGATTTTCTTTTTGTAGAATTCCAATCCCCATTGTCATTCCCCAGCCCCGCCCCCCTCGAATATAAATTTCTGATAGGAAAGGTGTTCATATTCATAATGTCTTATCTGTAATTTTGTATTTTAGACTAATACATTTTAAAACCACTTTTTTCACCTTTGCAGGTCTTTCATGTACAACTTGCTTACCAAGTGAAAAAATAAAGTTCTAAAATGCGCTTTGTTTTCTTTCCCCAACGTTGTGAATTTCTTCGTCATTTGAATATTCCAACTTGAGAATTTGTTTAATAAGCACATATAGTGAATCTATTCTTGCCTGTTGCACAAAAACTCACCTTACACAATGTACTGTATTCTCTCAATAAACTGAATTACTGACCATGCCGACTTGAAGGCTTGTATTTCTACTTTGGTTCACCCAAGTCGTTCATGTCCTGCTCTATGGACTGTTAGCGGAGCCATTAGCATCAGCTTGTTTATCGAAGTTTAATCTATTCATCCAACTTCCTTCACCGCTTATCCAGTGCGGGGTTAGGGTCGGCCTGGATACAAGGGCCACTGAGGGCAGGACCCCTCCATTACAGAACAGTCATCCTCACTAAAGACAATGTAGAGACACCAGTTCATCAAACTGTATGTTTTTGTACCTGGGGGACTGTATGTGAACAGGAAAGTTCAGTTCTGAATCCTGGAGGTGACGCTACAGTACATTAGGTTTCCACTAATCCTTATATAAACAGTACTGAGGTCTGTGCTGCCCAAAAACCTCTGCATTGCTCATTTATATAGACTATTTCTCAGAGTTTGCAGTTTACAAGAGGTGACTTGACATGAACATCACTGCTGAAATCACAAAATACTTATTGCATGCAAGTACTTTCCAAGTGTGGTATTAACCTGCATGGATCGTTCCCCACTGAATGTTATCGTACTCTTTATTCTCATGGCTAATAGATATTTGTCAACAGCAATATTAATTAGAAAATCATATATAAACACTACTTTTTTCAGTTCCTTGTATCTGTACTGCAAATGGAACAGTGCACAATAGTAAAAACCCACTGGCCTGGGGTCCCTATTCAGAAACGACTTTAAACAACACTCTTAAGATCGAAAAGGCGTGTTAAAGCAAAAAAAGAAAAAGAAAGCATTGTCTGCTAATGGATCATTTAGACACATGGGGAGGCTTGGGAGATGAGCCCTCTTTTAAAGATGCATTTGGCATAGTCAGTAATCCGGTATGATGTCACAGTGCGGAGGGAGGGGTTGCGCTCCCACGAACAGCTGCCGGGTGTAAGGCAGGGAAGATGGTGGAGTCGCTCCGATCCCTGTGGTCCATAGGGGCATAGAGCCGCTGCTGATGACACACAGGTAGGATGAGATTTTTACTTTTGGGTTCAAGTTATCCGGGAATGCGAAATAGTAGCTCATTAAATAGGCTATGAGTAGCAGTATCTAAGCGGACATAGGAACTGCGATGCCTTACCGGCGTTGTACCGTGAAGCTTAACGCTGGAGAATTGCCGGTCAGAGAGTATTTACAGCAAGGGCAATGGCCCGATTGGTGATGCACATTCATCACCAAATCAGCCCTCTTTTCAGTCTTGCATTAGTGCACCTGGCTTGCTGAAGAAGAGTGCCTTGATTTGGTTAGGTTTATGTAGGAAAACGCGAACGCCCACTTCAATTATTTTTACATTTGTCCACTCGGCACAGCACATGAAAGTGATCGGCGCTATATCGAAACATTTGCGTGCGCTTCCAGCTAAAATAGTAAATCTACAGATCTTTTAATTTTAATTGTTCAGAATTAAATGCTCCACCCTTTCAGGCGACTATTATTGCAAGCAGTGGGCTAGGTAATGTTATTTTGATGTCATTCGAGTGGAAAAAATCTAGTTCACTCGCTGCAAATAGTAAATAGTGCACAGTGTACCGACGGCAGGTTTCAGAGCAATTATACAGTAAATCCATTTCAATTTGTGTCAGCTGCAGTTGCAGAAACTTGGTATGCTAAGGGCGTGTGGGGAATAGATCAATGAATTAGTGCGAAACACGGACCTTGTCGCCCGATTGCTGCGGCTTTGCAGTGTGTAACAAACACCAACATGGGTTGTTACGTTGTAGCAGCCCTTGTCTGACAGCGATCGCCCGGGGGTGACTTTGTCAGTGTCGCAGACCCGGCGGCAGTCCGTGGGGACCAGGAGCGGTGTTATTTGACAAATACTGCACTACAGTGTATATGCAGTTGAATGGCGGCCGCAGAGTACGCTTGCGCTGTAGGCGCCCCGGACCAGCCTTTCCTGGCCAGCACTTGCCTCCGTAGTAGTTCACGGTTGTGTCAGATTGCCTGCAGGTAGGAAAGCGAACTGCCGGTGCGCCGCGTCGCCGGAGGAGATGATAACAGACGTTTAAGGTAAACTGCGATGACAAGCTTTCTAAATATTATCAAGGCGCGTTTTTCTTTAAAAGAAAAAAAAAACTATGCTTTTCCTTTCTAGTTTCGGTCCCCCTCTCCTCCTCCGCAACGTTGCGCCTTTTTTGTCCTTCTCCGATTTTAATGGTGTTGGACCAGGCGGGCAGGTAGGGTGGCGTTTACAGCAATGTTAGTGAATCCCATGCATTGATAGGCTTGTGTGCACAAACGCACATGTGCAGAAACATGCGCTCCAAAAGTGATGTTCCAATAAACATCGTTTATTATATATTTAACACGTATGCACGCATATACCTGTTATCGGCATTTAGCGCAGTGCTATAGCACCAAATATTCGCGCTGCACTTTACCTTACGCTTGCGGACAAGGAGATATTGTTTTATGGGGAATGCGGTCGACGCGATGTAGGATGTGTGACTAGATGTAGGGTTTCTGATTGTGATGCGGACAATGGCGTATTTTAAAGGTTGTGGATGTTATCAGTCTCCCTTTAATACCAGCAAGCAGAATCTGATAGCAGAGCGCAAGATAACGACGTGTAATACAGAATACCAACCCATTATTTACTTATACGTTATCATTTAGAAATGGCTACAGTATGTATAACGCTCAATGCTTTTAAGTGTTTAAGACACATTCTATTATCATTCTTTCTATACCAAACTTCTTTGAAGTGTTTGCGATAATATGTTTTCTAAAAGCGGAGTTCGCTCATGTGTTCGTTGTAATCTACTGTTCTCAATGGGAGAATCTGTCACTAGAAACTGCAAATAATTATTTCTGAAAGAGATAAAATATGCCGGTGTTCATCCAGCCTGTGTGATAGCTGCTGCTTATTAACACGGCTGCGAATACTGATCAAACGCGTCATACGGGTCAAAACAAAGACCTGTGAGCCACGGACACAGATGCTGGCAGTTTTATACAGTTTGATACTAAAGCCACTGGGAAACGCTTTGCATGCATTTTATTTAGGCCTGTATCTGCAGTGTGAAGTTTCTGAAAGGTGAATTTTTAAGGGGCACATCATCAGTCAGTTTAATTTTGGCATATGATGATATTTTTATGGTTGTATGAAGACAGTAACAGGATCAGTACTGCAAAGTATGAAAATTAAGTGTCATCAATGGAACATTAATACTGAACAGCTTCCTCATCACGGTGTAATGTAATGTATTTGTACTACTTGTATTTGCGTTCGCGTGCAATGTCAAGTGGGATGTTTGAGCTGTGCATTTCCAGTTTGGTTTGTGGCGGCCATGTTATCTGATGCTTGATGGCTTTATTTGATTCTGCCATCATAACATATTTCCTGTGTTTTAACAGTGTGGTACATAAGGCTGTCAGTCCGGCCTTGTGCAGGAGCTGATAACTGTGTTGTGACTGACACCGTAATTATTCTCCAAACAAGTCATCATTGGGGTATTTCTTTAAATGAAGGAAAGTTGGACAGGAATGGTCTCTCTCTTAGAGTTTAATTTATTTGGGTTTTTTTTTATGGAGAGAGTTACAGATGAGGATCAAATCTGTTCTTGTTTTTTAATGGTCTAGACAAGTAAAACCTGATAAATCCGCTGTCCTTGGTGGGTCTGTGATGGTGTTACCCCTATGGATCATCTTAGCTGCTGGTTAGCTCCCACACATGAGGCACTTGTTCCTGTGCAACTGAACTCCAGCCTGGAGAAGCTGAGAGCTCAGGAGACCTGATCAGTGCCGTTTGGGCTGTCATGCTAGTCCTGTGCATCATGTGATCTATGACTTCAGAAATGTTTGTTTTTAATGGTCATAAATATACATGGGGGCTAAAGGGTGTAAACCTGTTTACCTGGAGGTGCCAAGTAACTTGAATTGTGTTAAATTTCTTATGAGACCACATTTTGAAAATATGTTTTTTTTCTGTTCAAAATAGTTCTTCTTGAATTATTCGAACCAAAGGAATACCAAACTTTAAGGAACTGAATCATAAAAGAAAAACATAAAATAACAAAAGTCTTCAACAGTTATCAGTTAAATATGGGGTGTTTATCAATACCAAGATTGCAAAGAATGTACTTGTGGTCTTGGCAAGACCATTCTTGCTAACTTGCCTCCCAAGAATGAAATGGGGTGCCATGAATCATGGGATTGTTCTCGTTAGCGAGGATACGACTGTTGCATCCTTGATATTTGGGGCGGGGCAAGAACGACATCCAGGGATTTTTTGCCACCCTCTGTACTTCGGTTCTTGAGTATTGGAAGTGTACTTTGGCGATGGAAGATGATGTCACGAGAACACAACAGTAGGCATTGATAAACACCCATTGAGTCAAATTCAGAACCAAAGCAAATTCCATATGGACCTTCATTTGGTGTACTTAATCATGCTTCTGGCCTGGTTCATTGTTGCTCTGCAGTGTATCAGTTCGGTTGAGGGATTAAATATGTAGTGATGAGGAAAATAAGTGTCTTTTTTTGTTGTGGGTGGCAGTGTTTGTTAGTTATTACCAGATCGTCAGATTCATGACTAATTCTTCAGATTCATCATAATTTACCATCACCACTCACCCCGCTACTCTGATATGGATATATCACATGAAGACATGCATGCACGCATGCAGAGACCTGTACTTATATCTTTGTGGGCACTGTCCATTCATTTCTGTGAGCAAATTCCCAATTCCCGGCAATGACAACCTTAACCCCAACCCAGCCCTAAACTTAACCATAAGTAACCAAACAATATAGAAGATTTTTGGCATTTTTAGTTTTTTGATTGCAGTCACAGATTTGTATAAAATTGAATTTCCCCTTTTGGGGACAGAAAAAATGATCTCCACATGTCAAAATAACAGGTCAGTATCACATTGTGGGGACATTTGGTGTCCACAATGTACTGTATATGTCACCCACACACACACACACACGCCCCCCCGATGGGAATGCCTCTGGAGTACCGAAATACGCTCTTTTCTTCCTCATTAACCTGCTCACACTTCCTGTCACCAGGACCACCTCTGTGCCGATTAGGGAGCGCACTCCCTCCCTCCGAGCCCTAATCACCTTCCGGCTCAACAGCCTGTCCCTTTCATCCGGGGCCGCTCGCTCGCTCGCTCGTTTACTCGCTCGGCACGCCGCGCAGCAGGGCAGCGCCAGCGATCCGGAGCCCGGGCCTGATCCGTAATCAGGCCTTGCCGCATGATCCCAGAGCGCCGCCGCCTGCCTCGGACCCGTCCATCAGTGTCGGCGTTGACGGGCCCCATCTCCCTGCTCCTGTCAGCCTTCAACTGATGTTTGGTTTTCGGCTCACGATTAAAACGGCCAGCCTGGAGGTGCTGGCGGTGGGGGGCTGGAGGGGCTTGGCACCTGGGTGTTCGAAGGATGCCCCTTTAATGAATATTCACAGCAAGAGCAGACCATCTCACAGCCAGCTTGTTATTTTTCCAGCTCACTTGCGCCGCAGACACACGAGGATAGATTACATATAACACGTGCACTGAAATTTAATATGAAAATATTGTAGGACTGGCTCATCTCCCAGGGTTGGTATTCATGACCTTATTTAAGTTCTGAAAGCAAAAAAAATAACAAATACTGCAATACTACCTTCCCAAGCTTCACAGGTTTTGAAATTAAATTTCTGAGGTTGCTTTATTTTTGAGGCTAAGGTTGTTGTTTTTTTTTTTCCTCTCCGAATCTGAAGTGTGTTCTGCAATCTCACTTTTAATTATTAGGCATTTTTTAATTGCAGAACTGTCAGCTGCTTTTTATTTCTATATCACTTCTAGTAGTCGTGTTCACTGTTATTCACTGCTGCCTCGGCTTGCTCTGCAATAGCTGCATAAATTATGCCCTTTTATTTTTGCTCCAGTGGTGTGAAAACATGGTAAGAAATCGGTGGTATTATGCTTATTTGTCTGAGAGGAACATTTCTTACTCATATTTACAGTGCTGCTTGAAAATGTCTGATTTATTAATTTTTTAGTTTCTTTCTAGTCTTCAGTCTCATAAAATCTTTACCTGAATTCCTATATTTAATGAGGATCACCAGAATAACAGCCACCCACAAAATAGCTTTTCATTATTCATTGAGCAAAATATCTTTATGTAGCAGAAACACTTATCAGGATTTGCGGAGAATCTTAGGGATTTTCAGCCAGGTTTTGCTTTCAAAACAGCTTCAACTGCCCCAGATCCGTCCCTTTTTTGCATGGACAGTCGTCTTCTGGGTTTGTCATTTTATTTCTGTGGTGCTGGGGTCTGACTTTTGACCCCGAACTCCAAAGCATGAAATCTCTTCTCTGTAATCCATGTTATGGTAGGAGCCTGAGTTCCGGTCTTCAGCTCATGTTCTCCTCCAGAATATTTTTGTAATTCATTGACTCGCTGATGCTGTGATTTGCTGCTCCGTAAGTAATAGTCACACCAAACCATCACACTCCCAGTGCTGTTCTGAGTGCTCAGCTGCTGATCTGTTGGTTAACCTTTTATGAATGTCATCGCTGTTCAGCTGGTGTCACACCAAGGCATGAACACGGTACAGCTAGGGAAGGTGCAGCTAAGGAAGTCAGCTGGTTCTTGGCTATTGTCCTTTTTAAAATTTCACCAGTCTTTTTCTAGGCTTTTCCCTGCCAATTGGTCAACTAGACATCCTGTCATTTACTGACTTGGGTATATTTATTTCATTGCCTGAGGTTATGAACCTTGTGGTTTATTTTTTGTTGCAAATGCACTCATTCTCCATTCATCCATCCATCTTCAAGGACCGCTTAGCAAAAAAAAGGTCCACCACAGGACATGCAGGGCATGGTTCATTCCAGACAGGATGCACAAATGCCAGTCACCCTAAGCCACATGTCACTGGAGCATGAAAGCAAGGCTTCCTGGAGAGAAGCTGGAGGACCTCAAGGAGAACAATGCAGAGTCCTCTCGAGAAGAAGGGCAGGAGTCGAGCCTGCATTCCTGGAGGTCTGAGGCAACCCACTGACCCTCTATATCATCTG